TGTGGACAGGTGTCTTTTATACTGATAACAAGTTCAAACAGATGCCATTAATACAGGTAACGAGTGGAGGACAGAGGAGACTCTTAAAGAAGAAGTTACAGGTCTGTGAGAGCCAGAAATCTTGCTTGTTTGTAGGTGACCAAATACTTATTTTACCGAGGAATTTACCAATTAATTCTTTAAAAATCCTACAGTGTGATTTTCTGGATTTTTTTTTCTCATTTTGTCTCTCATAGTTGAGGTATACCTATGATGAAAATTACAGGCCTCTCTCATCCTTTTAAGTGGGAGAACTTGCACAATTGGTGGCTGACTAAATACTTTTTTTCCCCACTGTATATACAATACTGTTCAAAAGTTTGGAGTCAGCTATTTTTTTAAAATATATTTATATTCAGAAAGCATGCATTAAATTGTTCAAATAAATGCTGTTCTTTTGAACTTGTATAATGGTTTCCACAAAAATATTAAGCAGCATAAATGTTTTCAAAATTTATCATTTTGACAATGTGATGATATGAAGAAATGTTTTTGAGCATCAAATCAGCATATTGGAATGATCATGTGACACTGTAGACTGAAGTAATAGCTGCTGCTTTGCAATCACAGAAATCAATTACATTTTCAAAGATATTCAAATTGAAAATTGGTATTTTAAATTGTAATATTATTTCACAATATTACTATTTTTGTTGTATTTTTGATCAAATAAATGTAGCCTTGGTGAGCATAAGAGACTTTTGAAAAACATTAAAATATTTTAATGACCTCAAACTTTTGATATGTATGAATGTAAGATGTTGACACCACCAGTGTTGTGTTTCTGCCTACAGCTGCACTGGCAGAGCCAAGACCAGGTGAGGAGGAAGGATTCATAGTAACTACTAGACCCAGCTATTTTGTCCGCCTGGGTAAACTGTCTGCCAGAGTTCGGGAGAGGGCGCTTGAGCAGTCTCTCATTAGGGCCCGCAAAGCCAGAGACACTACGCATGCAGCTGTGACTCAAATGACCAGCACTATGGACCTGCTGGAAAGTGCCCGGGTTACCTTGGCCAGTGCCAACCAGCAGCTAGGAGGCGCTCCGGAGCAGTTACTGCAGAGATGGAAAGAATGGAAGGAAGGGCAGCCCAAAGAACTGCAGAAGAATGTAACAGCTGAGACAGAGGTGGATACAGCAAAAGACAAGGAAGAGGTACAGTTTGTATTTTACTTGGAATGCAGTACAATATATGTCTATGAATATTCATATGTCTTACTGCAGACTGTCTATCAGACACATTCTCAATGTGTATATGTGGATGCCTCCTCATAGGAGCTGGAGTCGAGAGCCCTGTCGATGGTACGGGGTTTGAGTGATCAGCTGAAGGTGGCATGTTCAGGGGTTGTGTCCAGTGTACAGGGTCTCCCAGGCACTGTGCAGGAACAGCTTCTGAATGCTCGACATACAGCTGGAGAACTCCAGGCATCACTGAGCAGCACCAAAACGCTCACACCCATGCTCTTAGAGCAGACGCGGCAGCAGATCGGCCAGGTATAATCAATCTGGGTGTATGCAGTTTTGTACATAGCAGTTGTTGAGATCTGTTATTCGATTCTAAAAATGTATGTAGAATTTAGAAAGTTTAATGTATATTTTCATCCTTTAACAGATACGACAGTCACTGGATGGAGTCATGGAGTACCTTCTCAATAACACTCCTCTCAATTGGCTGGTTGGACCTTTTGCGCCTCAGAAAACAGAGAAAGGCGATTGAAAATGCTGTACAATTTAAAACGGATGTTTTGATGCAGTAGGTTAATATATGGTCCAAATGGTTGTGTCTTGTAACTATTGCCATTTAAAAAAAGAATGGCACTTTAGACACTATATTGTTTATATTACCGTATAATGAACATAAAATGGCAAATTATCATTTCATCAATGTCAGTATTCTAAACCAAGCATTGAAACCACTACCACGTAGAGTATGCACGTTTCTGCAGATGATTTACTGCTGTGTAGCATTCAAAAGTTTCTGGTAGCCTACTTAAATACTGAATACATGTACTTTCTGAATAAAAGCAACTTGAACTTCACTGGTTTTGTAATTCATGATTTTCCTTTTATAACTCTTGCAAAATAGATATGTAAATTTTTCTGAAATGCAAAAAAAACGGATCAATGGAGAAAAAAAATGTCTATGAAAGCATTTCTTTTGTAACCATTTGTTTTTGCTTCCTGGGCACAAATTAAGGATTCTAAAGAGAGGTCATATTTTATAATGAGCCATTTCAGCATATTTAAGAATATGTATGCAATATCACAGAAGCCAGTTCCCCTTTATAGTGAGTATCTCTGCTCTGCTCTTGGGTCTAAGGCAAGACACACAGTTTTTTCATAAACTAGTAATTTTTGTGTTTTTTGGCGATTTTGCCTCCATAACATGTCTTCTTTAAGACTACTGGAAAGAAAACATTTAAAAAAACACATTTAAGTGATTATTTATTTATTTTTACATTTCATCTATTTACAGCTGTACATTTCAATTATGATACATATATTCAAAGGCTGTTTTATCAAAATGAGTTCTTTTCTCATTCACTGAAATCTCGACTTCACCAAAACGTTTATTCCTCTCTACATTGTGAAGGTTTTTACCGAGGGACTGGTTTATATATCATTCACTGTGATTTATGAAACATTTTATTCCTTCAAACATCAAAAGGTATTTTTTTTATTCTTGCTGCTGACAGCATTTTCTGATTTATGGAGTGATAAAAGAGATTCCCTCTGTAAAAAAAAAAAAAGAACAAAATGAAACAAGAATTTTCAACTCTATCCGATGTTCTGAAGAGAGAGAAGTGAAATAGGAAGCTTTGACACTGGACTTGAAAATGAAAGCACACACATTCCAATAAATTGCACATGACCATTTTGCCTTCCTTAATATATCTGCATTTTCACCCAAATTACTTTTTCCAACCAACTAAACTGCGTGTTCTAGCAATACTTGGCAGCATTGCTGGTGTGGACTGGACTGGAGGAAGTGTGACGAGGTTTCGATGACGATGGCCAAAAAACAGTGACGTCACGCCCGTTGTTTCGGATGACGTTGAGAGGAGCAGGCCGCACGCGCATAGCAGGAACCTACTCTGTCAGATTTCTGTGGATCAAGGTCGTCGATTTCTCCTCAATCACACGGAAATACGGGTAAATATTCGAGCTAGCGGGGGTTTTAAGCCACCGCAAGTGTCCGTGGGACGGTCTCGAGATCCCGGCTGTCCGTTTTGTGTGCGTGCCATCACGTCAACTAGCCGTTAGCAGAGCTAGCGCGTTAGCCTGGCTAGTTGAGTATCACAAACAAAATGACTTTCATCTGGTCAGCGATTTCAACGCGGTCATCCGTGCGTAATATTAACTACTTTCGAAGGAAAATATTCGCTTTCGATGTCGCGTTGACGCTGACACCAAGTCGATTTGTTGTTTGTCGCGGTCCTCGGGTCAAAGACAACGTGTTTTTCTAATTGCGGAGCCGCTCTCAGCTGATTTTTCCTGGACATGCTCCAAAATAACCTTGCTTATTCCCCGTTTGCTTGGTAATCTGCCTTTCAGATAGTTAAGCTAAACTACTATTTCAACATTAAATACTTACTCGCTGTAATGTATTCGAATTGAAGCGCAGCTTTTGTCGGATTGTAAATCGTCATTTGATCGGCAGGCTGTTTAGCTTTCAGGAACCTGTATCATTCTTTGCTTGTTTGGGACACAAAACGCGAACAAACAAAGGAACTTTTGTTTTCGTGCAGTATATTAACAGCCTGTAGCAGGGTCACCAACAAATAAGTCCAAGGGGTTAAAGTTGGGTTTTGCTCACTGTAATGGGAATTCAACAACATTAAACATTTTCACCAGTTTCACTGATAAACTCTTAACTTCTCTCTTTCTAAAAAATCTTTTATTTTATATAGCCATGTCAAGGGTAAATAAACCACATAAAATGGGTATTATTTTCAAAACTTTTCAGCAAAGTCAAGAGCACAAAAGATATCAAATTTGATGCGTTTAGTTTCAATGTCTGGCATGTGTTATGAGCCAGCAATTATACATTAATAGTTTTTAATGTGTTTTTAGTTGGTAACACTTCATTTTAAAGTGTCCTTGTGTTACACCTATAGTACTAACTTTAAATTAATTAGGGTTAGTTGCTTAATTATAAGCAACTAACCCTAAACCAGGGGTAGGCAAGTTCGGTCCTAGAGAGCCGCAGTCCTGCAGAGTTCAGCTCCACCCCTGAAAACAACCCTTACCTGCCTATAGCCTTAGTAATCCTGAAGACATTGATTAGCTTGTTCAGGTGTGTTTGATTAGGGTTGGAGCTGAACTCTGCAGGACTGCGGCTCTAGGACCAAACCTGCCTACCCCTGCCCTAAACCAAACCCTAACTCTAGCAGTTGCATATTGCTTATTAATATTGCTCTGTACTTATTTTTGTAGGACAACTTACAGTGGAACCAAATAGTTTTGCTCAACAATGAAAATTTTTATTGCTTATTCACCCTCATGTTATTCCAACCCTGTATGCTGTTTATTTCTTCCAAGGAGCACAAATATAGTTTTCACATCTTCACATTAATATTTTCCATATTCCAGTTCACAGTGACCATGGGCTGTCAAGCCACAGAAAGGACAAAAAAGCACCACAAATGTCTAATATGACTCATATGCTGACACAAAGCTATCATGTGGTTTCAGAAGACTTGTAATTTAGCACACGAGTTGTATTACGTTTATGGTGCTTTTATAGGCCTATTTTGGAGCTTGGTTGTCAATGGATACAAGGTTTTATGGAAAAGATCTATGTGAAGTAAATTTTTCTGTTTCATAGAAAAAAAGTCATATGGGTCAGGAATGACATCACGGTGAGTAAATATTGCCAATTTTATTTTTTTAGAAATTATTTTCCTTATATATATCAGGCCTGTTCTGCCACTTTGTGATAAATATGCTTATGAAATACTAATTCTTAAACCCGAATTCTAGGATCGCCCTCTCCCGTCCCCCTTACCCCCCTTCTCAAACAGCATGGCTCAGGAGACAAATCAGACGCAGGTGCCAATGCTTTGCACTATGGGATGTGGTTTCTATGGTAATCCTCGCACCAATGGAATGTGCTCTGTCTGCTACAAGGAACATCTGCAGAGACAACAAGGAGGGGGAAGAAACAGTCCCCCAGGTGAGAAAGGTAGGATACTGGGAGATTGATTTACATGTCGTCACATGCACCTATTGTATTAGGAATCAAAAGTGTTCACTCAGTTTTGAGGTTAAGCAGAGTTCATTGTTAGGTTCCTCCATTTCTTCCAGCTGCCACATCTCCTGTAGGTTCCCCAGGTGCATCTGTGGTAACGGTGGAGTCCATCCCTGTACCCACTACAGAAGCCGTTACCCCACCTGAAGAACGCACGTCTAGGTAAGAAGTCCTTTATAAATCTGAGACTATTCATACTTCAATTGGTACAAGTGCAAAACAGTCTGTAGCTCAGTGGTAATCTTTTAATGAGCACAAGCTGCTTATGATGATATAGCAAGGAATTATAAAAAATAACCCCTGTATTTGGTTGGATTGTGTTTATGCAGTAGTTCGCCTAGCCCGGTAACCCAGCAGATGACGGCTATGAGCATCTCCCAGGACACATCAACCACTGATTCAGACAGAGCGGAAGTAGAGGAGGAAGAGGAGGGTGGCTCGTCTAAAAGCACAGGTCTGCTGAGTCTCATATTTACACATTGTACAAAAATATTCTACTCAGAAAATATACTAAAAGAACATTTTGATCAATTATTAAATTGATTTAAATAATTTTTATCAGTACTATTGTTGTTACTTCTATGTTTTTGTATAGTGATTGCTTCTTAAGAAAATGCTATATTATTGTAAATGATGTATTGAAATGATAATGTTGCCATTAAAATAGCCATTGTTGCTGAAATGGTGTCAAAATTATTCTCAGGGTTATTATAGTTAATTAATACTAAAACCATAAAATGGCTTTTGTTCCTTGAAATTAAATAAGCTTTAACTAAAATAAAATTAATAAACTATAATGTACTATAACGGCACTGGTCATTCTTGGTCTCCTCTTTTATATCAATTGAATAATTATTAGCAGTGTTTAATGTTTCTTTAAAAAAATTTAAGCATTTTAGAAGCACATTTCTTTGGTTATTTAAACTGTTTTGCAGCGTTCACAATTTGAATAGAATTTTGTAAATTAATTTGAATTTTATAAATGTATTCATCTTATTTTTCTTTTAAAATCACTTTATATTGTAATTTTTGCTAATTAAACCATTGCATACATACTAAAATGTTCAACAAATCAAAGAAATAATTGGCAGGTTATTCTAATATTAAACCAGTTGTTAGTAGAAGTTTTATGTAGTATTATAATAATTCTGTGGTTTTGAGTCTTATAGATTTTGAGATTTGATCTTGTTCGTATGTTTAATTATGAAACACCATAATAATATGAAAAGAAGAAACAAATCTTGGAAAAACTTGAACAACTCTATCCAAGTTAAAGCCCCTCCTTTCAATTCATTTTATGGGAAGACATGAATACTGATCTTTCATTAAATCATTGATATGAGTGTTGGAGTCTCATGTAACCTCCGAAGCTTGGAAGTTCATTATGTTTAAGAAATGATCTGTCAAAGGCTGACCATGTCTTTAATCACAGGGCCAGTAGGGGAAGCTGCACAGGCTTCTTCAGATGGAGATCAGACTCCTGACAAGAACAAAAAGAAGAATCGATGCTTCACTTGTAGGAAAAAAGTTGGCCTCACGGGTAAGCACCAAGGGGAGAAGCTTTTTGTTTTGTGAATGAGGGCTGGGCCGCACTTATCTTTGAGCAGTTTTCAAAACTTTACAAAATATAGCTTTACTACTAAGCTGTTTATTTTCCTGCTTCGTTAAGAGAGTCACAATACGATCTCCTTCTAGTTTTAGTATTCCAGCTCAAATATTCACTTTTTTGTTTAGTCTTATTCCCATTTCTTTTACACATAAAGCGATTTTCCTGCATGCAAATGTATTGATGATAATAATAAGAAATGTTTCTTGAGCGCCAAATCAGCATATTAGAATGATTTCTGAAAGATCCTGTGACATTGAAGACTGGAGTAATGATGCTGAAAATCCAAGGAATAATTTACATTTTAAAATATATTAAAAGAACATTTAAAATGTTTATAATATTTCACAATGTTTTTTACCGTTTTTTTTTTTTACCAAACTTTTAAAAGGTAGTTTATGAATATTTTCCAAGATCAACTTAATTGCTCATTTATTTCATTAAAATATAAATCTGTCAATTTGAGTTAATTTGTCATAGTTTCTATCTGTAGTCAGACAGCATACTGCAAGTTAGTGCTGCATTTCACATGGTCCTGCTGGTATCCTGCCTATTCTTTAGAGACCTCAATGTTAAAACTTATATCCATCTGAAATACATGGCCGATTGAAAGACTGAATCAACTTTCCTTTGTTTTCTGTAGGCTTTGACTGTCGCTGCGGTAACCTGTTTTGCGCTATCCACCGTTATTCTGACAAACATGACTGTCCCTACGACTACCGAGGAGCCGCTGCCGCCCGCATCCGCAAGGAGAACCCCATTGTGGTAGCTGAGAAGATTCAGAAGTTATGAGGACTGACAGCTAAATGAGCAAAAATAGTTTGACCTGCAAGTTTTGGAACCATGGCGCTGAATAACACCATTCTAAACTGGGTTCATGTCTTCATTGTAGGATAAGGTGGGTGGGGTTGTAGGGTACAGCCCCTGCTTGGCCACTCCCTAAACTATCATCTCCCTGTCTCTCCCAGAAGGCCGGTGTAGAGGTATGTGTGTGTGTGTGTGTGTGTGTGTGTGTGAGAGAGAGTGAATGTGTGACGGGTTGAGAGATGTATGAGTATGTTTTTTGTTTTTTGTTTTCTAGAGAGCCAGGGAGAAGAGGGATTGGTTGTCAGGTGGGCATCCATGTGCACCGGGGGGAGGGTGGACTCCTTAGTTTTTACCCTGCTATTGATTTTTGTTAGGATATTACCATTATTTTTTTATAGGAGCCCTGAGATGCGGGTTCAGGAGTCCGATTGGAAAGGGTGGGTGGGGTTGGACATCGAGAGGGAATTTCTCTGATATTGCAAAACATTGAAGAATATAGATTTTAATGACTACTCCCACATTTACCCATGTAAAATTATTTTACTGTGTAATTCTTTTTTTCTTTATTCTGATGAATTATCCCGACATGTCAAATGTAAAAAATATTTCTCTTTTATATATTGACTCATCATGCTAATGTTGGGTGCATGAATAGTTATCAGATGGGGTTTGAAGGGGGGAGGGGTGGGGTGTAGCAAGAGCCTTGACATAAGCGAGTGACTGAGGTTTTTTTTTTCTTTCCTTTTCTGTTTTAATGAGTGTATGGCATCAGAAGATCTATATTAATATATTGTATGTAGCTTGAATTGTGTGATTGCATTTTATTTATTTTGTATTATCATTTGGTTGGTTGGTACTGGAGGATTGGAAGCATTTGTCCAAAAAAAAAAAATCCAGTAGGTTATCCCTTAATGATATTTCTGTCTGTTTACATATGCATTTAAAAAAAACATTATAGGTCCTGATGGAGTAGAGTCAGACTGGATTGGGCTTTTCAGAATCAAAGCAAAAGATCGTTCTTCAGTTTCGTCACACAAACGCAGCAAAAAGTGCAGTTAGTGTAGGATCCTCAGTGCTGTACGGAACCTAGCAGGCCCATTATTGCTAATGCATGCCAGCGATGAACTTTTTTTGACCTTTGCCATAAGAGCCGCAGAGCTTCGAGAGCAAGGTATTCAATAACCACCAGCAGACCAATGAATGATGCTGATGGAACCAGCTACTAATTTGTTTATTAGGCGACGCCTTTTCGTTCCAAAAACATGTATTTACAATTAATACTACTCATGGTGCAAGATGCACACACACTTCCCCAACAGATAAATGTTGCATGCTTGCACAAATATTAAATGCAGAGTTTGCTACAGCCACATATTAAAATTGCAACACGAATGTAAAACAAACGTCCCATTGCATGGGCGAATGAAGCCTGCTTTCCAAATGAACAGGATTCTAATGTAAAGACTATGTGGCTGCCATTCTAAAATAGAATGTTTAAGGTTTTAGAAAGAACAGGAAAGGTTCAGCAGGAAAAAAAACTTTTTTGTTTGTAGTGTTTAGTAACTACCCATACGTAAGGAGAAAGGTGCTCTGTGTGTGTTTTCTGTCATCCTTTGAGTGACTCTTGTCTCTTTGTGCTGGTTGTTTTTAATTACTTTTTTTTGTGTGTGTAAAAGGGCTGAAACAACCATTTTGTATTTATCCTTAATGTGGTCCAGCAATCTTCCCTCATAATGTCTCTTGATGTGCACATTTTTCCATGATTCCTATACAGCCCCTTGACTTGTTGAAATCAACTTTGGTGGATGTATCCGATTTGAAGTCCTGGTAATGACCATGCTGCTTTATTAAGGAAATAACCTGAGCTTTAATTAGCACCATCTGTGATTGCAGCATTATCCTCAGTGGGGCTGCCAGCTCAAGAGGGCTTTTGTGAAAGGCAGGTGTAAGTAGCTCAGCGAGTTGGCATCTGTACACGCCATGCTTTGCTGAGACGGCATCCTGACAGCCTTTTAATGAGGGTTTGGATCTCATGCTTTCTGTCTGCACCATTTGCTGGAGGATAATCCTACTTTTCTAGGGTTTGAGTGTAGGGATACAGACAGTGTATGGGAAGGCTAGACTCCAGTTCCTGGTGAGATTGTTGTAGTGTGGTGGGCACAAAACTGTGAATGTAGTCAACCGCTTGACTATGAAGCTCCAGTGGGTTAAAAGCCAGTTGGTCACCTCTATTGTTGCCTTCATTGTCTTATCAGACCGTTGGCACTGTATTCCAGTGCATTATCCCTTCAATGCTAGCAATGATTAATCGCCTTCGTTGCGTGTTATTGAGCAAAATAGAGAAGTGACTTCTTCCTTACTTGTAACTGAAGAAGAATTGCCTTGATTTTAGTGAAGGTGTCAAGATTCATTTTTCTCCCAGAAGTTCATCAGAACATTCAGATGGGTGATGTGAGTTTCAGCTCAGGCGTGTTCGGCAGTACGTTAACCAGCATTTATGAATAATTTACCAGCATGCCCAGTCCCCCAGAGACACCACCAGATACCTTTTTGTTTTCTTTTTAAATTTAGGATTGTATGATGTGTATGAGAAAGTATAAAACCAATAAAATCACAAAGTTTATTTTAAATTTACACAATGTCTTGTGTGGTTCTTTTATTGTGAGCATATATTTGCCCAGACCATCTAAAGCAGTGGTTCTCATCTGGAGGGTCTCATCAGTAAATCTTAAAATGATCAAAATTGTTATTTTAACTTGAATACTATTTTAGAAGAACATTTAAAAAACAAGCAACATTTAGTTGACACATTTTAGCTTTTTTTTATTAAACAGAAGTGCCAGGGGTACCTATCAGCTTGGATAGGACAACTTTTGAAAGCGGCCTTGGATCCAGAAGGTTAATAAACACTGATTCTCATGAAAATAAAGATTGCAAAGTTTTCGTGGCGATGCAATTGAGGAATCATTTTGTGGTATTCTAAAGTCTTATATGAAAAGTGACTCGATTGTCTTTCACTTTTGTTGAAAGAAAAGTGAAAATAGGCTACACAAACCACACAAGCATTTTTTTTTATTACACACGCTAAAGGCTATCTAGTGATAACTTGTAGCAACCTTTTAATAAATTAAACGATTATATGCTTTCATAAACATGTTGAGAAAAGTTATGCAATGCACGTAAACAACTTTATTTAAATAAGAGTATTTGGTAGATGTCTCTCGCATGACTGTAATCATCAGCTGTCTGGCAGATCTGACAGAAGTTCCTGGGATGCTCCTCCCTCGGTGTCTCGTCAGCGTAATTTCCGGATGCGGTACAGTGAAGAGCAAAGACGTTTTAACAGGAGGACTGACATCCACTTTGTATGATTTCCGTACTGAGGACTCGCCGGGTCACGTGCGACTTAGCGGACCCTTTGATTGGTTACATGCCTCAATGGCACTTTTCAGATATTTATTTTATAATAAAAAAAAAAAATAAAGGATTGTAATTTCTTTTAAAAAGCAAAGATACTGATCTGATATTGATACTGATATGTCAAAAAGAAAGTTACTCCAAAGGAAACACATTGTTGGAATTCCCATCTGTGATATTACAAATTTTGCATTTCAAGTAAGGCGAGAAATGTGAAATTTTTTCTAACATCTTCCTATAAATATTTTGCTCACTACGCTTGCAGATGCTTGACAAGAATGTTCTTTTTTTTTTTAAATACAACCGATTTTGTATGGTTTTATTATTGTAAAAGTGTACACAAATTGTCGAAAGAGACAGCATGTGAAACGTCTATATGTTGATTGATTAATTATTTCTATATTCCCAAATATAATATATGCAAATACAAATATATTAATTTTCATGGCTTGCTTTTTGTAGTTTAATTTCAATTTAAACATACTCCGTAATCATACAGTATCGTGTTTGAAAATATCATTTATTAATAATTTTAGCTTTCAAGCCAACAGGTTTTTAATCCATGTTTACTTACACCTCTACAGCGCTTCCTACTTCAAACCGAGACGCAATGAAGAGTGGGAAGGCTAACAAACATCTTTGACTGGAGTGGAAAAAAACACACAGGTCTATTAGCATATACTAGCAGATTATTACATGCCAGGACGGTAGCCGCGAATCAACTCGGAACGACAAACCAGAAATTGAGTTTTATTCCTGGAGGGCTCGGCTTTTTATTTGCGGATGAGACATGTCCTTAGCGGCGTCCAGGCCTTTATTTGTTTTCTGAGAGGAGTTGTAGCTGACTGGCTAGCTGGCTAACTCCCCCCTAACCCCTCACTACGAGCTAGCTACTTAGCGACAGAGGTGTGAAAATATAAAGAAATCCGGCTTTGGCAGGCTGTGGTCAAGAGACCGACACGTATGTGGACAAATATATACATTCATCTGTTTGTTAGCAGTATAATGTTCGTTTGCAGCTGAAATGAAGTGTAAATGTTGAGTTAGCGGTTAGCGGGTCTGTTGGGACTGATGTGACCACTGGTGGATATTTTATTGGAGCCTCTTAAACCGGCAATATCAGGCAATATATATTATTTATATTTGTAGTCTATACAGTGTCAGATAGCAGATAGACTATCAGTTTTAAGCTGGGAGGACAGTATAGCTGGGAGATAGGTTTACTGGATGCCTGAATTCTACCTGGGTATTACTTATTAACCATTTGTTTACTGTTGGAGCTTTTTACTTGTTTAAGCTTTCGTCGAGAATTTTGCATTTTATATATATATATATAAGAGCTCTGTCTTATTTTTGTTTTTGAAAAGGAGCCTGAATGTAGTATTGTTTTTAAAGTGATTGCCCAGTAGATTAGATATTAAATTAGTTATTTATTATATGTAAGTATTTTGTTTAAAAAAAAAAAAGTTTGAACAGAAAAAATTATCGGAGAAATAACCTTAAAATGATGTACATTCACATGAGATCATATCAGTATTCTAGAAAAGGCTGTTTTATTGTATGTTGAGAGGGTCGCCCCCACATGACCAGCAGTGTCATTTAATAATAATAATAATAATATATTATGGAATTTATTGTTGTTACTCCAAATATAATATACTTACTACAGAGTCCTGTTGAAACTGAAGTAATGCAAGTAGAAAAAATTTTAAAATGTTTTGTTAAATATGTATTGACCACAATCTCCGGTCATCTCTTGCAGCTGACAATGAATGGCCTTTCTGTGAGTGAGTTGTGTTGCCTGTTCTGTTGCCCCCCCTGCCCCAGCCGTATCGCTGCCAAGCTTGCCTTCCTGCCCCCTGAACCTACCTATGCCCTCCTGCCCGATCTGGAGGCCGGGCCGGAACCGGCCGGACCTACGGGGACGTCAAGCCTCCGGTCCCGGGGAGGAGGTGGCGGGAGTTCGGTAGGTGGGGGGAATGCTCCAGTGGAGGGGCGCTGGAAGCTCCACCTCACAGAGCGGGCAGAATTCCAGTATTGCCAACAGGATCTGGATGCCACAGAAGTGTTCCTGACGCGATCTAGTAGGGGGAACAGAGTGGGCTGCATGTATATCCGATGTGCCCCCTCTGCCAGGTAGGATGGATGCATTTTTGGATGAGTTGTGATTAGAGGAGTTTTTAGTTTTTTTTAACAATAATATATGTTGAACTCAAAATGTCCGTTTCCTCTGATGGACCCCCCCTTTCCTCCCATGGATCACTTACATTCCTTCATTATTTTTCAATTTTGCTTTGTCCCATTTCCTGCTTCCCTCTCTGAGTTTGTCTGCTATCTTTACCCAGAAGCCACTCCTTCCTGAACACATTCTTTCTTTATCACGCGCCACTTTATTCTCAATGTTATTCTCGCTGTTCCTTTGTTGCTTTATTTCCTCTTCGATTTTCAAAGGATGAGTAGTTGTTTTTTGTTGTGGTATATACTGTGGATGTCTTCACTACACCAAGTACCTGTTACTATGTTTTTGGAAGTCTGGCTTTTATATCATATTTTTATTAAAAATGTTTTTATTTTTATAAAGCTGAAATTATATCAAATATAAATATTTGAAGGAATAACTAAATAAATAAAAAACCCATCCTGGCCACTAACTGAAATAAAATAAAAATTTATGAAATAAATTAAAATGGAGAGTACAAAAGCACTTAATAAATTACTAAAACTACAATTAAAATAAACTGAAAACACACAAATATTAAAATAATACTATTATTATTTTAATAATACTATATAAGAAGTGATACTATAATAACACTGTTTGATATACCATGCCAGTTGTTGTTGTTTGTTTTTTTGCCGGTAGATTTGGATTTAGACGCTCTGGTATTATATGATTCTACACATACACACACACACCCGTGTTAGTTATGAAACTGTTCCCTGCGGCGTATCGGGCTCAGGTTCACTGCAAATGTGCCTACATGCCCAGTGATTCAGCGAGTGAAATTATAGGTTATTAAGTCTCTTTGTGGATCCGTCTTGACTTGGATGTTGAGTCAGACCTTGAAATAGTGTAATGAGTGTACGAGAGAGTGACTTTGTACTACAAATCCCATCATCCCTTTTGTCTGTCTCTCTCCTCAGGTTCACTGTCCTGTTCTCCCATGGTAACGCAGTGGATCTAGGCCAGATGAGCAGTTTCTATATCGGCCTGGGCACTCGCATCAACTGTAACATATTCTCTTATGATTACTCCGGCTACGGGGTCAGCACAGGGAAGCCCTCAGAAAAGAATTTGTATGCAGACATAGACGCAGCGTGGCAGGCTCTACGCTCACGGTGAGACATGAAATCAATACCAAGGCACAACCAAAACAACGGCATGACTGTAGTAGAGTTCAAGGTTTACAGTGCTGCATTTTATTGTATGATAAGCAACTGTTAAAAATTTAAGTCAGTAAAACTTTTTAAAATAGTTTTATTATGCAGATTGATAACTAGTGACAGTATAAAGATATTTATAATGTAACGAAAGATTTATGTGTAAAATAAATGTATGTAACCTAAAATAATAACATTTTTGTTTGTTAGCCTATATAAGCCTTTCTTAAAGGGGTCATATGACGTTACTAAAAAATAACATTATTTGGTGTAATGTTTATGCGGTTTAAGGTTAAAAAAACACATTATTTTCCACATGCTGTACATTATTGTTTCTCCTCTATGCCCCGCCTTTCAGAAACGTGTCGATTTTTACAAAGTACATCGGTCTGAAAAGCTAGGTGTGCTCTGATTGGCCAGCTATCCAGTGCGTTGTGATTGGCCGAATACCTCAAGCATGTGACGGAAATGTTACGCCCCTTACCATAATGTGATGCTGTGTCCCGGTGCGTCAAGACAAAACCAATAAAACCCATTGCAAACGAGGCATTTGTAGCATCCAGTGGGGACATAATTATGGATTATAATGACTTATACTGTCTTTTTACGCATTGCGTTGTGTACCGAGCCATGTAAACGTAAAACCATGTCTGCATTTGTGATCGGAGAAACGACAAACAACAAGTGCTACTCTACACTGCTCAAAACTCGCGTTTGAATCGTCAGTGGCAAATCCTTTAAATATGAAAACGTACTTACAGTCTGTGAGGCAGCATTATTTGTCAGAACACCGGCATTGTAGGCTACTCTCCCAGGAAACAGTCCTCGTCCTCCGTAAAATGTGCTGCACACATCTGAATATTTGGTTTGAATTGTTCTGGAATGGTGTTGTAAATACAACTTAACCACTGATTTCTAGTTGTGTCCTCTTTTGGAAGGCCAAACAAAGTAGTTTCGCTTTCACAACTACACACAGCGTCTCCACAACATGGCGGCAACAACAACAATACTACAGTGATAATAAAAGTTATGCCTTCTTTCTTTGCCTGAACATTTGGGCGGTGTTATGCAAATCTTCCCACACCGTGACGTAGACATGTGGGGCCGTGTTTAAACGAGGCGTTTTAGGAGGGCGTGGACGAGTCTTAACTTCTATAAAGAATTCTCTTTTTGGGTTTGAGACTTTAGTCTTTGCAACTTTAGGGATCTTATCTATTCACGGACAGCTTGTAACTATGGAAGCCCGTTTCCGCCACTAAATAAAAAAATATAATTCTGTAAGTCATAATAATGAAAAACTTTCTCAAAATTATGACTTAGTATCTCGTTATAATGAGAAACTTTCTCGTAATAATGACTTAGTTTCTCGAAATAATGACTTATTTTCTCATAATAATGACTTAGTTTCTCGTAATAATGAGAAACTTTCTCGAAATAATGACTTAGTTTCTCATTATTACGAGATACTTTCTCATAATAATGACTTAACCTAATCCAAAAAAATATATAAAAAAATAATAAAAAAAGACTTCCTCGCCGCCTGCGGAACGCAAGAGTGACAGCACGCTAAATAACATTGAGAATAAATGAAAAAGACTTCCTCGGCGCCTGCGGAACGCAAGAGTGACAGCACGCTAAATAACATTGAGAATAAATGAAAAAGACTTCCTCGGCGCCTGCGGAACGCAAGAGTGACAGCACGCTAAATAACATTGAGAATAAATGAAAAAGACTTCCTCGGCGCCTGCGGAACGCAAGAGTGACAGCACGCTAAATAACATTGAGAATAAATGAAAAAGACTTCCTCGGCGCCTGCGGAACGCAAGAGTGACAGCACGCTAAATAACATTGAGAATAAATGAAAAAGACTTCCTCGGCGCCTGCGGAACGCAAGAGTGACAGCACGCTAAATAACATTGAGAATAAATGAAAAAGACTTCCTCGGCGCCTGCGGAACGCAAGAGTGACAGCACGCTAAATAACATTGAGAATAAATGAAAAAGACTTCCTCGGCGCCTGCGGAACGCAAGAGTGACAGCACGCTAAATAACATTGAGAATAAATGAAAAAGACTTCCTCGGCGCCTGCGGAACGCAAGAGTGACAGCACGCTAAATAACATTGAGAATAAATGAAAAAGACTTCCTCGGCGCCTGCGGAACGCAAGAGTGACAGCACGCTAAATAACATTGAGAATAAATGAAAAAGACTTCCTCGGCGCCTGCGGAACGCAAGAGTGACAGCACGCTAAATAACATTGAGAATAAATGAAAAAGACTTCCTCGGCGCCTGCGGAACGCAAGAGTGACAGCACGCTAAATAACATTGAGAATAAATGAAAAAGACTTCCTCGGCGCCTGCGGAACGCAAGAGTGACAGCACGCTAAATAACATTGAGAATAAATGAAAAAGACTTCCTCGGCGCCTGCGGAACGCAAGAGTGACAGCACGCTAAATAACATTGAGAATAAATGAAAAAGACTTCCTCGGCGCCTGCGGAACGCAAGAGTGACAGCACGCTAAATAACATTGAGAATAAATGAAAAAGACTTCCTCGGCGCCTGCGGAACGCAAGAGTGACAGCACGCTAAATAACATTGAGAATAAATGAAAAAGACTTCCTCGGCGCCTGCGGAACGCAAGAGTGACAGCACGCTAAATAACATTGAGAATAAATGAAAAAGACTTCCTCGGCGCCTGCGGAACGCAAGAGTGACAGCACGCTAAATAACATTGAGAATAAATGAAAAAGACTTCCTCGGCGCCTGCGGAACGCAAGAGTGACAGCACGCTAAATAACATTGAGAATAAATGAAAAAGACTTCCTCGGCGCCTGCGGAACGCAAGAGTGACAGCACGCTAAATAACATTGAGAATAAATGAAAAAGACTTCCTCGGCGCCTGCGGAACGCAAGAGTGACAGCACGCTAAATAACATTGAGAATAAATGAAAAAGACTTCCTCGGCGCCTGCGGAACGCAAGAGTGACAGCACGCTAAATAACATTGAGAATAAATGAAAAAGACTTCCTCGGCGCCTGCGGAACGCAAGAGTGACAGCACGCTAAATAACATTGAGAATAAATGAAAAAGACTTCCTCGGCGCCTGCGGAACGCAAGAGTGACAGCACGCTAAATAACATTGAGAATAAATGAAAAAGACTTCCTCGGCGCCTGCGGAACGCAAGAGTGACAGCACGCTAAATAACATTGAGAATAAATGAAAAAGACTTCCTCGGCGCCTGCGGAACGCAAGAGTGACAGCACGCTAAATAACATTGAGAATAAATGAAAAAGACTTCCTCGGCGCCTGCGGAACGCAAGAGTGACAGCACGCTAAATAACATTGAGAATAAATGAAAAAGACTTCCTCGGCGCCTGCGGAACGCAAGAGTGACAGCACGCTAAATAACATTGAGAATAAATGAAAAAGACTTCCTCGGCGCCTGCGGAACGCAAGAGTGACAGCACGCTAAATAACATTGAGAATAAATGAAAAAGACTTCCTCGGCGCCTGCGGAACGCAAGAGTGACAGCACGCTAAATAACATTGAGAATAAATGAAAAAGACTTCCTCGGCGCCTGCGGAACGCAAGAGTGACAGCACGCTAAATAACATTGAGAATAAATGAAAAAGACTTCCTCGGCGCCTGCGGAACGCAAGAGTGACAGCACGCTAAATAACATTGAGAATAAATGAAAAAGACTTCCTCGGCGCCTGCGGAACGCAAGAGTGACAGCACGCTAAATAACATTGAGAATAAATGAAAAAGACTTCCTCGGCGCCTGCGGAACGCAAGAGTGACAGCACGCTAAATAACATTGAGAATAAATGAAAAAGACTTCCTCGGCGCCTGCGGAACGCAAGAGTGACAGCACGCTAAATAACATTGAGAATAAATGAAAAAGACTTCCTCGGCGCCTGCGGAACGCAAGAGTGACAGCACGCTAAATAACATTGAGAATAAATGAAAAAGACTTCCTCGGCGCCTGCGGAACGCAAGAGTGACAGCACGCTAAATAACATTGAGAATAAATGAAAAAGACTTCCTCGGCGCCTGCGGAACGCAAGAGTGACAGCACGCTAAATAACATTGAGAATAAATGAAAAAGACTTCCTCGGCGCCTGCGGAACGCAAGAGTGACAGCACGCTAAATAACATTGAGAATAAATGAAAAAGACTTCCTCGGCGCCTGCGGAACGCAAGAGTGACAGCACGCTAAATAACATTGAGAATAAATGAAAAAGACTTCCTCGGCGCCTGCGGAACGCAAGAGTGACAGCACGCTAAATAACATTGAGAATAAATGAAAAAGACTTCCTCGGCGCCTGCGGAACGCAAGAGTGACAGCACGCTAAATAACATTGAGAATAAATGAAAAAGACTTCCTCGGCGCCTGCGGAACGCAAGAGTGACAGCACGCTAAATAACATTGAGAATAAATGAAAAAGACTTCCTCGGCGCCTGCGGAACGCAAGAGTGACAGCACGCTAAATAACATTGAGAATAAATGAAAAAGACTTCCTCGGCGCCTGCGGAACGCAAGAGTGACAGCACGCTAAATAACATTGAGAATAAATGAAAAAGACTTCCTCGGCGCCTGCGGAACGCAAGAGTGACAGCACGCTAAATAACATTGAGAATAAATGAAAAAGACTTCCTCGGCGCCTGCGGAACGCAAGAGTGACAGCACGCTAAATAACATTGAGAATAAATGAAAAAGACTTCCTCGGCGCCTGCGGAACGCAAGAGTGACAGCACGCTAAATAACATTGAGAATAAATGAAAAAGACTTCCTCGGCGCCTGCGGAACGCAAGAGTGACAGCACGCTAAATAACATTGAGAATAAATGAAAAAGACTTCCTCGGCACCTGCGGAACGCAAGAGTGACAGCACGCTAAATAACATTGAGAATAAATGAAAAAGACTTCCTCGGCGCCTGCGGAATGCAAGAGTGACAGCACGCTAGCGCCATCTGTTGGTCAAAGCCACGCAGGAACACCGCTAACATTGCATGTGATGCATGAAAGGGACAGCTAATAAAACTAATAAATCATCGAAATACACATCTATAAATTAAGTTTATATGTGTAATGGCTTTCATTTCTTCATAAAATGCCTGGATTTCTTAACTGAAATATTGGTCTGGAATGTTTGAAGCCA